TGCACGTATTCACGCGTTCATCTGTTGCCTTGCGGTGCCCTGACCGGGACTGAACCGCCATCTGGGCGTATCGGGGCGACAGGCGAACCAGCTGAGCCACCCGGGCGGCCTTGTCCCTGGGCATTTCCGTCCTGGAGGTGACTGGTGAGCGCGGCCCGAGGTAGAGGAACCGACGCCCTGATCTCCTTCACGTCGTCTTAGGTCTCTGACACCTTCGCTTTCTCCCTGGGATTTTCAGAACTTAAAGGAAACTTAAAAGTCATCTTTACTCTTTTTAAAAAATATATGTTTTTATTGTTTTGAGAGAGAGGGGCGTGGGGGACCGGGAGAGGGAGAGCGAGACATCAACGTTGAGCATTGACCCATGGAGGTCACCCGTTCGATTCTGGTCAGGGCACAGGCCCGGGTTGCGGGCTCGATCCCCAGTGGGGGGCGTGCAGGAGGCGGCCGACCGATGATTCTCTCTTCATCGATGTCTCTCTCCCTCTCCCTTCCTCTCTGAAATCAATAAGACTATGTTGAAAAAATAATTTAAAAAAATAAAAAGTGAAGCAAGGGGACTACCTCTTGACCTGAGAACGGGTCTGAAACTAGTTGGGGAAGGAGTTTCCCCATCATTCTCCACATCGCCGGCGCCCGGGCGAGGCTCCCGGCACCCCAGGACCGGCGCGGCCCTCGGACGGCTGCCTGGCGCCACACCGGGCTTTCCTCCTGCTCGATGGGAATACGCATGCGGCTTAAGTTGTCCCTGGATTGAAAAACAGACCTAATATTTTGTACCATTTCTAGAAATGTGTAGTGAAACCCAACCAGAAGTCATGAACTAATTCCATCCAGAGCGATCCTGTCACAACTCACAGATGTTCCCCTGAAAGATGGCACTGCCTCGCTTTCCACAGGAAATGCCATTTCATTGTCCCTTGGGGCTGGCTTGTCCTAAGTGACGTCGTCACACACAGGATGGCGTGGGGCGTGAGCAGAGGCAGCGCGCCGCTCACAGGCCTGACGACTGCTTACGCGTTGGGAACGGCCACCTCTGATGTCAGACGTGAGCGGACTCAGACCTGAGCGTCAAGGGCAGGTTCCGAAGGGAAGGCTCTGCTGCACAGGTTTTTAAAGTCTCACCACCAATGTGGAAGTTGGGCAAGTTTCCAGGTGTTTTAGCTCCAGTTGCTCTGTAGCTTTTTAAAAACATATAAATATATATATTGCTTGACTTCAGAGAGGAAGGGAGAGGGAGAGAGAAACATCAATGATGAGAGAGAATCATGGATCGGCTGCCTCCTGTTGGGGATCGAGCCACAGCCCGGGCCTGTGCCCTGACCAGAATCGAACTGTGACCTCCTGGCTCACAGGTTGACGCTCAACCATGGAGCCAGGCCGGCCGGCACCTCCGCCAGGTCTTCAGAGAGGGCAGGCCCTGGGGGTTCAGGAGGGAATGGCCGGGGGGCGTGTGGCCTGTGCCACGGGGCTTGTCAGCTGGTCCAGGGTGGGGGCTCCGACGGGAAGGGGCAGGAAGGGGTCGGCCCCCACGCTTTCCCGTTACCCCAGAGCGGGCTCTGACGGGCTTGTTTGCTTATTTCCCACGAACGGCGACCTTCTGAGTTGTGTGTTCTGGGCGTCAGATCGCTTCTGTGAAGTCCCCGGGCGGTAACACCGGGCAGGGCTGTAACCGGCGGCTGCAGGAGCCGTCAGGAGTCCGGAGAAGGTTCTAACGTAGTGAAAGCGCTTTGCCAATACTGTCTCGTTAGCTTTCGTGCCAAGATCCGTACCTCACTTTCTGAGCAGTGTCACCCCCCTTTCCCCCGGGTCAGGCGGTGACGCGTGTCCCACTGACCCTGCTGCTGGGGACTGCGCTCTGTACCCGCCACGGCTCTCCCGGCGATCGGGGTGCACGGCAGGAGGACGGGTGTCGCCTGACTGGGCCCTGCTTTCCTTGGCAGCCCTTCGTCATCCACGACATGGAGACGCTGTGCATGGCCGAGAAGACGCTGGTGGCCAAGCTGGTGGCCAACGGCATCCAGAACAAGGAGGCGGAGGTGCGCATCTTCCACTGCTGCCAGTGCACGTCCGTGGAGACCGTCACGGAGCTCACGGAGTTCGCCAAGGCCATCCCCGGCTTCGCGGGCCTGGACCTCAACGACCAGGTCACGCTGCTCAAGTACGGCGTGTACGAGGCCATCTTCGCCATGCTGGCGTCCGTCATGAACAAGGACGGCATGCTGGTGGCCTGCGGCAGCGGCTTCATCACCCGCGAGTTCCTCAAGAGCCTGCGCAAGCCCTTCTGCGACATCATGGAGCCCAAGTTCGACTTCGCCATGAAGTTCAACGCCCTGGAGCTGGACGACAGCGACATCGCCCTGTTCGTGGCGGCCATCATTTGCTGCGGAGGTGAGTCAGCGGCGCCACCTGCTCCCTGGCACTCACGGACTCCCCTGTGGGGGGGGCAGCGGTCGGTCTGACGGGGTGTGGGTGGTGCCGTCGTGGAGCGGGCACTGGAGGGGGGAAAGGGGGCCTGGGCCCCCATATTGCCACCAACCAAAAGCAAGTGAATTACACCAGCACAGCACCGCGTATTGTGCGTGAATACGTGCTGTCCGTTATGTGTGCTCTGGTTACAGTTATGACATGTGAATACCGGTATATGTTCTGCTTGTAATTAGTACGTCACATAGCCCCTCAGTAGCATGTCAGGTCTGGCTGGCAGTCGTGATGTCACGCAGTGTGTGGTGCGTCACATGATGACAGGCGTGCACCGCACCACGTTTCAGTCAACGAGGACCCGCACCAGGCGGTCCCGGGGTGAGGGGCAGCGCACGTGACATCATAAATGGCTGCACTGGCTCCTCCCGCTCCCCTCACCGTCCTGTCAGCGTGAACTCCCTCGACGTTTAGACAGAAACGCCTCTGACAGCAGGCCTCACGCCTCGTGTCGCCTCTTTATCTTATCGTTTTGTTTTTGTTTTTATTTATTTATTTATTTATTTATTTTTAATATATTTTATTGAGTTTTTACAGAGAGGAAGGGAGAGAGATAGAGAGTTAGAAATATCAATGGGAGAGAAATATCGATTAGCTGCCTCCTGCACATCTCCTCCTGGGCATGTGAC